ACCCCTGGATGTAGTTGATGACGAAAGTGGAATTTAGGCATCTGCTATTGCTCAATAGGTAGTTATAGACAACATGTAATATACATTTTAAATGTTTCTTTTTAAAAACTATTTTGTAAAGTCAATGTTCTTTTTTGTACTACATGATAGTATATTTTCCTTAAAGAATGTTTGACTTTTAGCATTTTTTCAATACAGACAGTTGTCTAATGTGCTTTAATGTAGATCTAAATTTTTACTCTCTACAGAATCGAGTTGCATTTTTTCTGGTAAATTTATATTTCAGGCCATAGGCCAGGTTTACAGAATATTGATTCAAACTGGATTGCACAAACAGAAACATCATGTGAATCGGATGAACATATTTTTTCACATGGTCAAAAAGTATTCCTTAATTTGAAGTGTTTTAATAACGCTTGGCTATCGACTGAAGATGTGTTTGGGCCACTGGTTGTTTCACTACAGCAATCCGACACATTAAATGCAAAATTAGCGTTTATTCCACTAAGTGAGAAAGATAATAGACATTTTACTGGTCCAGTGTTAAATTTGCCGGTGCAATCAAATCACTCGTGCCTCCAGTTTAAATGGAATGGATTTACAGACCTGTCTGGTATTGTGCATTATGAATACCGAGTATACCAAGATGAACACGTTGTCCTTAAGGAATGGGAGAAAACTGTTAAAGACATGGTTAAAATAGAAAATATTGATTTGATAAATGGGGAAGTCATTGCAGAAGTCAGGGCTATTAACAAGGGGTCATATATCAGCGACTCTGTAAATGCTTCACTTTTTGTTGCCAAGTATCCTCCAAAATTATCAGGTAACTGCAATAATCTTTCAGCTTCTATTAGTTTGAAAGGCTATCATTTTGAAAATCAAATCTTTGCGAAGAAATAATTTACTTTATACTAAAAAATACGCTGATCGTTACATTTATAACATTATCATTTTATTTTAAGTGTTATTGCAATTAGAACGTTCATAAATTCTTTAGTTTATTATTTCAAACTCTAATATTTAAATGTTTATCAAATGATAAATTTAAGGGTAATATATATTGGGTATTTGTCTGTATTTTTCAGGAATTTCAGCTAAATTTTCGAGAAATGGAGCTGAGAAACTACATTTAAGTTGGGCTGACGTATTTAATATTGAACCTAGTATTCAGTTTTCATTTGGTCTTACAATAGGTACGAGAAAAGGATATACAGATGTCCTCGAAATACATTATATCAGTGATGATAACATTGATGTGCCAATACCTAGATCTACGATCATTACACCTATAGTGAAGGAAGTCTTCATATCGATCGACTGTATCTATGAGACTGGACTACGAGCTACATATGCTACTATTTACAAGCTTGCTTGACATTTAAAGGCAAATTATGCTTTAGAAACGAGTTCTTTTTCTAGTTTTGGAATAGTAACCCATTTTTTAATAATAATTTTAGAGCATCTAAGACGCTTATCACTTCAAAAGAGTAGCAGTGAATGTGAAAATATTTGCCATAAAAGTAGTGAAATGAAAACAAGATAGTATTTTGACTTCCATACAATATACTACATCTCTTTAATCAGTGTACTAATTGCCAGATAGACACATCGGACGCAAACCATGATTCAGGTCCAATAAGTAGATATAGAAAAGAATAACAGTACACAAAATTTTAAAAATGAAAATAAAAAGTAAAAAGGACATCGGCATACAGAACTGTTCATGTTATGTTTAGGATTTCCCCTTTTGTAAAATAGTTCTTGATTCGTGTTTAAAATTACTTTGATATAGGGTTAAGTATATTATATTATATCTGTTCATTTATCATATTCAAACCTGTAACAACTGACTGATTTTATACTAATGTGTTCTTATTTTATTTTAAAAGGTTTATTATCATTAGGAGATAATTCAGAATATTTTGAAATCATTTTTACTCACTGAGCCTTGAATTTTATTCTATGTTCTTAAAATGCTTTATTTAAACTGATAGTATGCTCATTTTTGTTTCACTATTAAGCTAAGATAAATGAGTTGTGTATAACAAAAGTGATTCAATATGATTGCATAACATAGTATCTATGCGTAAGAAAGCTAGAACAAGTCGATATAATATGTATGTTTAGTTTAGATATTTCTATTTTGTTACCATGTATTTAAAATTTATTAAATACTGATTACAGAGAGTTTTTAAAAAAGATTTACAAGCTTCGTACCTAATCCGTAAATTTTATTTTATGTACCTTATTATGTAAATGTATGCATTATAAATAAAATATTGTTTAAACTAACATTTATTATGATATTTTTTATTTTCTTATTTCTTTTATTATTATTACTCATTTCACATTTTATAAGTGTAATTATTTCATATTAGTAGCTAATATACAAATACGTGTTCTTACTGCACATTATGCTTTACTTTGCTATTCACAGGAAAACATTAACATAAATCTTTGACTTCTTTTCAATCCTGTATTATACCATGTTGTACATAGTTGTATATATCGGAACTGTATGAAATAAATTCTGAATAAATCTAAAGATTGGCACTCATAATTGCTATTGTACAATAAGTTGTAATTACAAATGTTTAGGATAAAAACTTCCTAAAATATAAAAAAATACTGTCCAACACTTTTTGTAAATTGAACATTATCGATAATTTCCGAAGATATTTATGAGGGTCACGGGGGTTATTGACTACCCGGGTCACGTATATTATGAAACTAAAAACAAATATGACCACATGATAAGTATATTCTATTTAATCTGAACACTCGTCCACTTTTTTATAGGCGTAATGTCACTTTATTTGATTAACATGTCACATAAAACGACTTTTTAAAATATAAATATATTTACAAATGCAGGAAACCTATCTTTAAAAGTATCATCGATATCATTACTGCATTTAAATCTATCTTTACAATTGAATAGCGTTAAGACTCTAAATTTAGACGTCATATTTCGTTAATGTTTAGCTTGTGTATACATGTATATTGCATTCATTATAACAAAATAAACATTTTTTTATAGCATTTTTTGTGTTGTTGATTTATATATGCTTCAAATAGTTTTTGCCACACCAATCTTCACAAGTATTTCGGATGCACTTGGTGTTTTTATTACAGATATTTAAACACATAAAAAGTTTCATACGAAATTCCTAAGATTGTGTTAAATCTTAGATATATATTTTGATGCATAACAAATGATAATGTAATGTTTTGACTGGCGATTTCTTACTTAATCATTGCTGTACCATTTTCAATAGAGATTTTATAAATGATGTTTTATATCTAATTATTAAAAGCAAACCAAAATTCTTAATTTCTTTGATTAATTTATTTAAGGTTTAATTAACCCTTAGAAATGAATACATTTGAATTACTTCTTAAGAAAGAAAAAACACATTTTGTTTTAAGTTGTTTAAAGTATGCTATATATGCGTATCGCTTCAGAAAAGTTGCACTTAACATGTATGTAAAATAACTTGCCACCAAAAGCAAAATTTAGGCAAAGTAGTGTTTTTGACTTAAAAGTTTCGTAAAAATACTTTAAAGTTAGTAAATATAAATGTACAAATTGAAAAAAGAAAACCCGAAAAATCGAAGCCAAAAAAATTAAATATCAGTACTATATCATTACTTGCAAAATGCACCCAATTTGATTGTTTTTTTTTTACTATTTTATTTTTTATGTTTGCTTTTTTGAACACATCCCGTCGACTCGAAGAATACGTTGTTATTCTATGAAATCTTTGGAATATCAAAAATCATGTAGTGTACTATTGTCTTTAGTACTTAATATATTTCTAAAAGACGTTTAAAGTTGTCCTGCATAGAGAGCATTTTGATGCGAGATGATGTAGTATCCTATCATTGAACGCTAGAAAGAAGACAGATTATGACTGCCCGCATAGCTCAATCGGTTAGGGCGCGATACTTGTAATCTCGAAATTGTGGGTTCGATTCCCGGGCTGGCCAACTAAATTACTGATGAGACTTTGAATTGAGGTCCCGTGTATGAGTGCTTAAACACTTGGCACTTTAAAAAACCAAAGGAAGCTTCTGGAATTGGGGCATCATCTTCCACTATCCTTCAAAATATAAAAATTCTAATAGTCTTGTGAAGGAATCGCCCACTATAAGACCACCCTGGCCGAGTATAAATAAATTCAAATACACACAGATAGCCTGTACCGTGTCAAGTCATGTACAAGTTCGGACGACCAATTTGATTATAAATTTTCCGTATCGAGAACCGCAGTTTATTTGTTTTTCCTGACTGGAGGGATACATATAGAGTATAGCATACATATACTTTAAGTGTATACGATATTATGCGTGTGCTTCAAAATGACCGTATGCTACAAAGTAATCTCTTTACACCTATGTAATAAAAAGGTAAACGAGCTTATAACATATGTTTTAATGTTGGTTAAGTTAAACAAAGATGTCGAAATCGCAGAATGTTTCTATCAATGACCTAACAGAGGATCAAATTCAAAAGGTAAGTATTTCTTTTTTAACCCGATGAGTTCAAAGGGTAAAATATTATAAAATGTAATGATTGAACTTATACATTAAAGTTCATGTTCACGCATTAGTCACAACTTTTAATGCTCCTCTCGTATTTGTTCCAGATATGATGGCAGAAATTGTTACACGATGTTACCGCATATTTTCATTAAAATTTTGCATTCATTGCAAGTATGACGGGAAAAATCAAAATCATGGAAAACTTGTGTACCATTGGAGTCGACCAATATTTAAATTAGCAGTCATTCAAACTTCACAGTCAACCCATGAATATCGACGTAACAAACGTGCAGTATTATAAAAAGTGATGTTTTTAAATCGAATTTTCATACATATCTGTTTTAATGTGTTTAACATGTGTGTTATTACATCCTATTAATTTGTATTTATTCGTTATAAGTTTTGGTATCATCTCGACGATATATCTGACGACAGAACTTATTCTGACCAAATAGGAATTTGTCGGATTTTATCTTTGATTTAATCTCTTTGTGTTTATTTAGTGCTCTATTAAATAACTTACTTATAAAACTTGTCAGTATTTAAATAGATTTTGGCTTATTTTCTTTGTTACAAATGTACCATGTATGAAAGATTCTATAAAAAATGACCGAGTACGATTTATGGAACTAACCAGTACTGGTTCTCAAAAGGAAACCTGTTTATGACTCTTTATGTAGTCTATATGACTTTATAACTTTATCCCACAATTCTACGATTCATGGGTTGATATACACACACACTCAGTACCTGTCATCACTTTACTTTTTACCCAATTTAAATGTTCTTATGATACAAATGTTTATTTACTCCCTATAACTTCTCGTAAAATAAATCTTCAACAAGTACAGCCCCGAAAGTCGAAGACACTATAAATTGGCCAATTACCGTGTCTTCGCCTTTCGTATTTTGAGGCGAAGACACGACGACAAGACAAATATACGGCGTCAATATTAAGATTTCTAGCCGCCGATACGATAATTCTGCAGAATTTAAGTCTTCGCCTATAAAAATATCGTTATTTCGTTGAAAATATATTGTGTCTTCGTATTGGCGCTCTGAAATGTTGAAGATCACGATAAGTGAGCATATTATCATGTATTTGCCTTCGACATTCGGGGGGCAAAGACACGAAGACACGAATTCGAAATGGCAGAAATCAGTCACCATACAATTTATCATGTGTGTTTTAATTGTGATACCTTTCTACTAATTTTGACGTCAGACATGACTATTTATTTAAAAAATGAAATTCGTATATTTTGTCATTTTGAACGAAGGAACTACTTAAATCAGAAATGTTTGTTGTCCAAAATGTTCAAGAATCAGTGGCGATAACGACAGAAAGGTATCTATCAAAATATTATTTTGAGTTGTTCCCCTTGTTATTTTCAGTTGCAAATATTAAACATCCGAAATAAATATCATCCTTTCACGAGACGCACGTGTTTTTATTAACCATAACACTCTTTTATATGATTTTGGAGTGCATGCGTTATTGTCAATTGTAATTTTTCACATTAATTTCTTTTAGGATAAAAAATAGATATTGTAACTTGAAACTTCATAGATTAACAGAGGGGGACATGCATCTGAAATTGTATTTTATATATTAAACAAAATGTCATTTAAAAATGATTAAGTACATAAAAATAGTAACTCTACATTTGAATATAATATTTATGTTTTGGGTACCAATACTTAGAAGCTGCAATTAAGTGGTTTGAATCATTCGCCAGGGGATATCAATTTGACAACCTTGCTTTTACAATATTTTAATAAAATTACTATATCTCCCGATGCCACATTCACTGCTCACTGGTATCAACACTTAATCCTTGAATTACAATAGACCAATAAATAATTCAGGGAAAATCATATTATGTTTCTATTTTAGAAGTTTCGTAATCCTATTATTTTGTCAGTGCAAATAATATCCTGAGAAACGTGGTGTTTAATCTCATTTTATAAATTCTTGATATTGACAATTATTCTGAAAACATTGAATTAAAGAAGAATTCTACACCAAGAAACCGTGCCCAGGGCAAAAATATCGTGTTTTGTATCATATAGATTACTGGAAGTGTCTATGTTAAGATGAGTTGATTAAGTACTATTTTAATACTGTCCATAGGAAAATCGGTTGCAGAATATGATAATAATTTCAAAATGTAAAGCATGACATGTTTGTAGGACAATGTCAAAGTTTATGCAGTATGGGAAAGTCGTAAAAAACTAAGTTGCTTTGTAATGAAAATCAGCAAGGTACAACTAAATTTTAATGATTCATTTGCAATGCATAGAAGTGTGTGTATGTTTAATTGACCAAGTTGCTTACTTACAATGCGTATTCAAGTCCATTGCTCACAATTTTAAGTTTGTAAATTAATGTCGTTAGAAACGGATTTTCTCTGGTGAAATTGCAGTGTTTACACGAATTTGAATTAGCTTTTTTTAAACAGCATACTTTAACTGTGTTCCACGCAATTTAAACATGTTTTTGCCTTTAATTTTATACAAGAGTCTCAAGGTTTAATCTCATTTTATAAATTCTTTAAATTGATACTATTGTATTAAATTTAATGTTGTAGTCATTTTAAACAAAGACACAAAGTTTTGGGTGAATATGACATCTACATGCATTTCGAAAAAATCTAACTTAACACTTGCACGCACCTTAGCAACAAAAGTGTTAATTCTTCAGCACATCCCAAATATCCTTTATCTTTGACCACATGATCTTAAGCATGTATCTAGATTTTCATGAGGTCGTCGCTTCGAATCCCGTCACCCTGTCGTCAAAGTGCTTTTCTATTCATAAATTGCGCTCGCCGCCCAGGTTTCAGGGCGTCGGCGCGGGGCATTGGGTTAAGTTTTCAACTAGCAATAACCACGCCTTGAATGAAACTCATTGGCTATGGTAACACCACTGCACAAAGCTAACATCCGTTGCTAAACGTAAATCTAAATAGTGCTTGGATATGACAATTATTCAGGTTTAAATTAGTTTTGATATTCAACCAAATTTTCAATGTTTTGAGAAATTTATATCTTAAAGTTTATTATTATGTTATGATAGAGTAAAGTGTTATTTCTCACTATTTATTGTTTGTGCACGTATGTGCTGTGACATTGAATAACTGTTGTTTTTTTTTTCTTGTAAAATAGTTCAATACTCGGGAGTACTCTTTGTCGTCCCAATTATGATTTTATTATAAAACAATACAATGTAGACGATTTGTACCAAACTTATTATATAAGCTGTTTGGAATATCCTATATAAATAAACCCTTTCAATATTTATTGAATATATAAGAGAGAAAACAGTTATAATATTACCAAATAACAATGACTGTTTTGTAAGTGGTTGACGGCGAGTTACTTAATTGACCTCATATCTGTAATTATGAGTTTTGGATATTTAATATACGTTTATGACTTTGGGTTAAATGTAATAATATAAAAATTAATAAAAACTTAAAAATAAATAATATT